AGCCAGGAGACTGCAACCGTGGTCCAGTGGATAGACCGTGTGCCAGGAGACTGCAACCGTGGTCCAGTGGATAGAGCGTCAGCCAGGAGTTTGCAACCGTGGTCCAGTGGATAGAGCGTGTGCCAGGAGTTTGCAACCGTGGTCCAGTGGATAGAGCGTCAGCCAGGAGTCTGCAACCGTGGTCTAGTGGATTGAGCGTCGGCCAGGAGACTTCAACCGTGGTCCAGTGGATAGAGCGTGTGCCAGCAGTCTACAACTGTGGTCCAGTGGATAGAGCGTCAGCCAGGAGACTGCAACCGTGGTCCAGTGGATAGACCGTGTGCCAGGAGACTGCAACCGTGGTCCAGTGGATAGAGCGTCAGCCAGGAGTTTGCAACCGTGGTCCAGTGGATAGAGCGTGTGCCAGGAGTTTGCAACCGTGGTCCAGTGGATAGAGCGTCAGCCAGGAGACTGCAACCGTGGTCTAGTGGATAGAGCGGGTGCCAGGTGTCTGTCTCCGTGGTCTAGTGGATAGAGCGTCAGCCAGGAGTCAGCAACCGTGGTCTAGTGGATAGAGCGTCAGCCAGGTGTCTGTCTCCGTGGTCCAGTGGATAGAGCGTCAGCCAGGTGTCTGTCTCCGTGGTCCAGTGGATAGAGCGTCAGCCAGGAGTCTGCAACCGTGGTCCAGTGGATAGAGCGTCAGCCAGGAGTCTACAACCGTGGTCTAGTTGATAGAGCGTCAGCCAGGAGTCTGCAACCGTGGTCTAGTGGATTGAGCGTCGGCCAGGAGACTTCAACCGTGGTCTAGTGGATAGAGCGTCAGCCATGAGTCTACAACCGTGGTCTAGTGGATAGAGCGTCAGCCAGGAGTCAGCAACCCTGGTCTAGTGGATAGAGCGTCAGCCAGGAGAGCTGAAGGTGGGTGGTTCGATCCCTATAGCAAAAGACGTTGTTGTTACCCTGTCTGGCGCTCAGCATTAAGGGGATAAAACAAGGACTGGTCGGCGCGGAGTCAGCATACTGTGTCTGAGTGACTTGACCATGTTAAACTGTGGCATGGTATTTCAGTGAGCTAGCACAAGGAACCACACACAAACGCATGCATGCACGTTGCTATATTAGAGATTTTGTCTGAGGTTTTTTTTGTTTGTTTTTTTAAGCAATGTTGGTTTTGTTATATGAAACTGCGATGTTGTTGTGCAGGATGTAAATAATAACGTAGCTGTAGTTATGAAAGAAAATCGAGTAATATAACACTTCAGAACAACAATTATCGAGGTACTTTTATGTCAATTATATTATGTATTTCTCATGTCATTGTAATTTGTACTCGTATGTGTATCATGTTTGAGAGAGGCATTCAGATCAGCAAAATTTGCTTGTTTGCCAATCCCTCCACTTTATGAAAATAAAAATGTTTATATCAAGACTCGGTGGTAAATATGCATGGGTTACTGATGGGTAAGTACTGGCTTCTGTGTGTTTCGGTCTTCGGAATTTGATAGTGAAACATTCGGTCCGTTGGTCAAAATATAAAGGCATTGTACAGGATATTTCAAATCATTTTAAAGTTTGATTTGGATCGGTTGGTGGTTTTTATTTTATAACACCTCGGCCTGATTGACGTATTTTTGCTTATTATACAACTAAAATCTGACATCGGCATTTCAGTGTTATTTGTATTGTCGAAGCGATCTTTACCGTCAGCGGTATACAACAACCCTATCTTTCTGATTTTATTTATATTTCTTTTTGCCTAGCAGTTTATATAAAGCTTGTTTGGTGTTGCTTTATAAATAAACCAAATACCAAAACTGAAATGACATTGATACATCGATTTTTCAAGGATATCGTTTCCTGTTATTACCTTTTTAGTTATGGTTTCGCTGAAAACATCTGAAGCCGCCAAAGCGTTGGCATTGTCTTACAGATATCTGGACTCTCTGTGCGCCATGGTATGGCCATCCTTTGCAGTGACCTCCAGGATATTTGGTCCGCAGTGCTTGCATTCAATGAATCTTTGCAGAAATAATGACTGACTGACTGATTGAGTATGGTTTTACGCCGCTTTTAGCAATATTCCAGCAATATCACGGCGGGGGCCACCAGAAATGGGCTTCACACATTGTAGCCATGTCGGGAATCGAACCCGGGTCTTCGGCGTGACGAGCGAATGCTTTAACCACTAAGCTTCCCGACCGCCTCTGTAGAAATAATGAACGGATAAAGACATAAGCTGTTGTACAAAAGAAAGTATACACCCATGTTTAATGGTGGCTACAATAAAACAAACACGAAATGGTTATTCGATGGTGATGTATGTCATACGGGTGGTATTATTGCTGTGTTTCGGGCCTTAAGTTTGCAGTGTTTCGGCGACTGTTTTCAACAATGTAACGTTTTGGTAACGTTTGTAATTATTTGGTCAAATCTAATTGTATTTTAGTCGGCAGTTTATATTAATATGTCATTAGAAGGACCTTATGTTTGCAGTGTTACTATACTACAGTAGGGATCATAAATATATTTGGGGATATCTTTTATAAAAAAAATGTGTGCTCAGTCTTTACTTTATAAGCTATCCCAAAAATATTCATGATCGCGGAAACTCTTTGTTGTGTACACTTATAAAGAATTAATCCAATCGAAAATTTATGCTAAGTACAAAAACAAAAATATTCTTCAAATGAGTAACAACGTCGTGTGTTTTTTACCTCGAGTTGCCCCACGACTTCAATCTGAGAAATAAGTACAGGTTAGACCACGCGGACCCAGTGTCTAATCGTTGAAATGGTTAATTAAACCACGAGGCGCGCGCAACCTTTATGGCACCTAAAATGCTTAGAAAACATTGTTTTGTTAAAGGTATTTTGAAAGATATTCAGGAACTCTATGCTCAACTGTGAGAACACTGTGTGAGTCGGCCCTGCGTGAAGCACGTGAAATATGTTTCCCGCGCCTTTCGCACGTGCACCTCGCACTTTGCCGATTTGGGTTATGAAATGCATGTCCCGGGCCATTCAATTTGGACCAACTCGAGCACATTTATCAATCAACTAAATATTACTTGTCCATGTTGATGGGCCAATTATGAGCAAATATAGCCCTGATCAAGATAATAGTAATTTCTTTTCTATCTGTTTGTTTCGTTGAACGAAAAGCTTCAAAATCACAAGTGCTGTACAAATACAAGAATGCATAGAGTAACAAACTGTATAAAAATTGCACAAAACACATTTCGCAGTTCATAAAGGGATGAGCAATTGGTACATATGTAAGTAAATATTTACTTGTTAATTTCATATTCGTTCCCCCATGCCGCCGTGGCAAAGAATTCATTCGTTAGCCTTCAGTGCGGACCTCGCGGGTTCGAACCCCGCTATCGACAAATGTTTTTCATGAAATTGTTCTATGATCAAGACAAATGATGGGGAAAAAAGAAGTTCCACCATTGCCAAGTGGTGGTCAACTAACAATTCATTTCGTTTGACCATGGACAAAGACAAAGAAGCCATGGTTTAGATACTGTTAACCCAAATGGTGCTGTGAAATACAGCTGTTCTCCTATAAGTGTATACAACAGGTAAAATAGTCCCCAACAGGTAATCCAGGTGAGGTGAAATTACGTCTCTCGCTCACGATTATTGAACTTATATAGCAACGTGTATGCGCGTTTGTGAGTGGGTGAGTGAGTGAGTTTGTTTTAACGCCGCTTTTAACAGTATTCCAGTTATATCACGGCGTGTCAGCTTAATGTGGGAGGAAAGCCCGAAGTGATGCAGGCCTCAGACGTTTACCACTTCGGTGAAACCCACGAGCACGGGTATGGTGCTGACAAACCTAGAAACATAATCGGGGCGAACCGGGATTCGAACCCACAATCATAGGTTTCTGGCGTGCCCAAGGGTGCGCAACTCTGCACAGCGAATCGCGGCGCCTAAGACGACTGGGCTACCCGTGCCCCCCGCGTTTGTGAGTGTGATGTGTGTCTGTGTGTCTGTGGCTGCTTGTAACTAGTCTGGACCAACACCGGTTTTGCAGTGCTTGACCATTGGGTGAGTGTGTGTACTGTGTTAAAACCCGCTTGTAGCAATAGTCCAGCAATATAAAGGCGGCGGACACCAGAAACGGGCTTCAAACAATGTATCCACGTGGGGAATTAAACCCGGGCAGTCTGCGTGACGAACGAACGCTTTTTGATCAGGCTAACCCCCACTCCACTGATATATTATGCAGCAATTTAACATGATACCACACTGGGACACAGTATACTGACTCCGAGCCGAATTACCGCTATCCCGACAGACGCTCTATCCACAAGCCCACGGTGACGGTCTCCAACAGGCTAATGTAAATATGGTCATAACATGAGCGGCGTCAACCTATATTATTTCTAGACAGAACTTGATAACTTAGGGGCCACCTCGTTCTGGAGGGGAACATGCTGACTGTAAAACCTTCATTCACGAACGAAAGAACGTACGAACGAACGAGACGAAGAATAAATTCGTTATCAAACTCAAGTACAATACAGCTGCATTTGTTTATTCAGAATTCCTGGTTTCTTTTGATTCTGAAGCGATGACAATTGTCTGGAAGGTTTGATCCAGGGCTTTATGGCATCATTCATTCGTGGTACATAAACACATTGTAGGAGAATACTTGACTAAATCCAGGCATATACAAAAGCGAAATATCAATAGCTGTGCGTATATTACCCTAAGAGTGCAGAGTTGCGTCCCTTGGGCACGCCAGAAACCTTTGATTGTGGGTTCGAATCCCGGTTCGCCCGATTATGTTTCTATATTTGTCAGCACCGTGGGTTTCACCAAAGTGGTAAACGTCTGAGACCTGCATCACTTCAGGCTTTCCTCCCACATTAAGCTGACACGCCGTGATATAACTGAAATAATGTTAAAAGCGGCGTTAAACTAAACTTACTCACACTATTCTGAGTGAGTGAGTGAGTTAAAAATTTAACGTCGCATCGGCATTATTCGGCCATATAGCAACGAGACCAAGTTAATATATTATTAATTCAGTCATTTATGCAAAGTTATATTTATAAAGGAGTTATGAAACATATTTGAGCATACTATGTTTAAAAACATTTGATGAAACATATTTGAGCATAACAATATCATTAATACAGTTGAAGTATATCCTCCTAAACAGAAAAAAAGAAAATATGTTGTGTTTGCTAATGACCAAATCATCAGATGAAGACAACTAAAAGCAAAAGTTCAGTTCAGTTATTGCATTGTTTTTGCAACATTGTCTTAAGCAGGAGAAATAACTTCATGTCGACTTACATAAAGTTTTTTCTTTCCTGATAAAGTCCCCTATAACATGTTGCCCTTCCTGGGTGGGACTCGTGCCTTACTGGGATTAAACATCCATGCTTATTATAGTCAGATAGTCAAAGATTGTCGAACATATTGCAAAGCTTCTTAAAAATAATATTGGACTTGTGTCTAAGCTGAGGTCGTGATTCTAGACATAGACCTCCCTTCGTCTATCCCTCTGCCAAATCCAGGTGTTCCTCGATCACCATGGTGCCCCTCTGGGTCCTGTTCCTCCAATAGCAGCAGGCAGCCGACACCAGGAACACCAGCCCCACGCTGTTGGCGAGTCCCACCACTGCCGCTATAGCGGGGAGCACGCGCGGATCCTCGGGGGAAGCAACTGCAACACGAAGTATAATGCGAACAAAAGTATAGTGAGGCCCAAATACAACAAGAAATACCCTGTATAAAAAAGTCAGATGTGGAGACCCAACTTTTACACGAAATATCCTGTGTAAACTGTAAGCGGCTGAAACCCCACTACACGAAATACCCTGTGTAAACTGTAAGCGGCTGAGCCACAACCGCCACACGAAATATACTTGGTAAATTGTACGAGGCTGAAACCCCACAACACGAAATATACTTGGTAAATTGTACGAGGCTGAAACCCCACAACACGAAATATACTTGGTAAATTGTACGAGGCTGAAACCCCACAACACGAAATATCCTGTGTAAACTGTAAGCGGCTGAGCCACAACCGCCACACAAAATATACTTGGTAAATTGTACGAGGCTGAAACCCCACAACACGAAATATCCTGTGTAAATTGTACGAGGCTGAAACCCCACAACCGCCACACGAAATATACTTGGTAAATTGTACGAGGCTGAAACCCCACAACACGAAATATACTTGGTAAATTGTACGAGGCTGAAACCCCACAACACGAAATATACTTGGTAAATTGTACGAGGCTGAAACCCCACAACACGAAATATCCTGTGTAAATTGTACGAGGCTGAGCCACAACCGCCACACGAAATATACTTGGTAAATTGTACGAGGCTGAAACCCCACAACACGAAATATACTTGGTAAATTGTACGAGGCTGAAACCCCACAACACGAAATATACTTGGTAAATTGTACGAGGCTGAAACCCCACAACACGAAATATCCTGTGTAAACTGTAAGCGGCTGAGCCACAACCGCCACACAAAATATACTTGGTAAATTGTATGAGGCTGAAACCCCACAACACGAAATATCCTGTGTAAATTGTAAGCGGCTGAAACCCCACTACACGAAATACCCTGTGTAAACTGTAAGCGGCTGAGCCACAACTGCCACACGAAATATACTTGGTAAATTGTACGAGGCTGAAACCCCACAACACGAAATATACTTGGTAAATTGTACGAGGCTGAAACCCCACAACACGAAATATACTTGGTAAATTGTACGAGGCTGAAACCCCACAACACGAAATATCCTGTGTAAACTGTAAGCGGCTGAGCCACAACCGCCACACAAAATATACTTGGTAAATTGTATGAGGCTGAAACCCCACAACACGAAATATCCTGTGTAAATTGTACGAGGCTGAAACCCCACAACCGCCACACGAAATATACTTGGTAAATTGTACGAGGTTGAAACCCCACAACACGAAATATACTTGGTAAATCGTACGAGGCTGAAACCCCACAACACGAAATATACTTGGTAAATTGTACGAGGCTGAAACCCCACTACACGAAATATCCTGTGTAAATTGTACGAGGCTGAGCCACAACCGCCACACGAAATATACTTGGTAAATTGTACGAGGCTGAAACCCCACAACACGAAATATACTTGGTAAATTGTACGAGGCTGAAACCCCACAACACGAAATATCCTGTGTAAATTGTACGAGGCTGAGCCACAACCGCCACACGAAATATACTTGGTAAATTGTACGAGGCTGAAACCCCACAACACGAAACATACTTGGTAAATTGCACGAGGCTGAAACCCCACAACACGAAATATACTTGGTAAATTGTACGAGGCTGAAACCCCACAACACGAAATATCCTGTGTAAATTGTACGAGGCTGAGCCACAACCGCCACACGAAATATACTTGGTAAATTGTACGAGGCTGAAACCCCACTACATGAAATATCTTGTGTAAACTGTAAGAGGCGATACCAAACAACAACGCGAAATACCTTGTGTAAACTGTAAGAGGTTAGGACACAACTTGGGCAGTTCTTGGACATTTACCCCATGTGAGAGTGAGTGAGTGAGTGAGGTTTTACGCCGCTTTTAACAATATTCCAGCAATATCACGGCGGGGGACACCAGAAATGGGCTTCACACATTGCACCCATGTCGGGAATTGAACCCGGGTCTTCGGCGTGACGAGCGAACGCTTTAACCACTAGGCGAACGCCCTCCAATGTGAGAAGTAAGATAACGGGACCCAGATGCAATAAAATAAATAAACAACAAATATTCATTTATTTATCCATCACATCTTACACTTAGCTCAGTATATCAGACCATCACAACTTACACTTAGCTCAATATATCAGACCATCACATCTTACACTTAGCTCAATATATCAGACCATCACAACTTACACTTAGCTCAATATAGCAGACCATCACAACTTACACTTAGCTCAATATATCAGACCATCACAACTTACACTTAGCTCAATATATCAGACCATCACAACTTACACTTAGGTACCTTAACATATCAGACCATCACATTTTACACTTAGGTAACTTAACATATCAGACCATCACAACTTACACTTAGATACCTCAACACATCAGACCATCACAACTTACACTTAGGTACCTTAATATATCAGACCATCACAACTTATACTTAGGTACCTTAACACATCAGACCATCACAACTTACACTTAGATACCTCAACACATCAGACCATCACAACTTACACTTAGGTACCTTAATATATCAGACCATCACAACTTATACTTAGGTACCTTAACACATCAGACCATCACAACCTACACTTAGGCACCTTAACACATCAGACCATCACAACTTACACTTAGGTACCTCAACATATCAGACCATCACAACTTACACTTAGGTACGTCGTCTAGGTATCAGACCATCACAACTTACACTTAGATACCTCAACACATCAGACCATCACAACTGACACTTAGGTACCTTAACATATCAGACCATCACAACTTACACTTAGCTCAACATATCAGACCATCACAACTTACACTTAGGTACGTCGTCTAGGTATCAGACCATCACAACTTACACTTAGGTACCTTAACACATCAGACCATCACAACTTACACTTAGGTACCTTAACATATCAGACCATCACAACTGACACTTAGGTACCTTAACACATCAGACCATCACAACTTACACTTAGATACCTCAACATATCAGACCATCACAACTTACACTTAGGTACATTAACACATCAGACCATCACAACTTACACTTAGATACCTCAACACATCAGACCATCACAACTTACACTTAGATACCTCAACATATCAGACCATCACAACTTACACTTAGGTACCTTAACACATCAGACCATCACAACTTACACTTAGATACCTCAACACATCAGACCATCACAACTTACACTTAGATACCTCAACATATCAGACCATCACAACTTACACTTAGGTACCTTAACACATCAGACCATCACAACTTACACTTAGATACCTCAACATATCAGACCATCACAACTTACACTTAGATACCTTAACACATCAGACCATCACAACTTACACTTAGATACCTCAACACATCAGACCATCACAACTTACACTTAGATACCTCAACATATCAGACCATCACAACTTACACTTAGGTACCTTAACACATCAGACCATCACAACTTACACTTAGATACCTCAACATATCAGACCATCACAACTTACACTTAGGTACGTCGTCTAGGTATCAGACCATCACAACTTACACTTAGATACCTCAACATATCAGACCATCACAACTTACACTTAGGTACCTTAACACATCAGACCATCACAACTTACACTTAGATACCTTAACACATCAGACCATCACAACTTACACTTAGATACCTCAACAAATCAGACCATCACAACTTACACTTAGATACCTCAACATATCAGACCATCACAACTTACACTTAGATACCTCAACATATCAGACCATCACAACTTACACTTAGATACCTCAACATATCAGACCATCACAACTTACACTTAGATACCTCAACACATCAGACCATCACAACTTACACTTATGTACGTCGTCTAGGTATCTGACCATCACAACTTACACTTAGCTCAACACATCAGACCATCACAACTTACACTTAGGTACGTCGTCTAGGTATCTGACCCTGAACCTGCTGGTCCCGGAGTGAGAGCTGGAGGTGAACTGGAGCAGTACTGCCGAGTGGGAGCTGGTGAGGCTGGTGTTGTTACTGGAGGCGCACCAGGTCCCCAACACAGGACTTGTCGTGCTGTTACCTAGGAGACAGGTCAACACAGCACAGAGTTAATTGGGTTTAACACCGCTTTGAACAGTATTTCAGTTATATCACAGCGCGTCAGCTTCGTGTGGGAGAAGTAAGTGAGTGAGTGAGTTTGATTTAACACTGATTTGAACCGTATTTCAGTTTTATCACCACGCGTCAGATTCATGTGGGAGGTATCAGTAGGTAAGTTTAGTTTATCGCCGAATGTGAGTGAGTGACTTGGAACAGAGGAACAGTTAAATACATCTAAAGATCTAAAGAATAACAAAATCGCCTCCATCATCTCCAAGACAAGACGCATGAGAACACGATTACGTATTTAACTGTCCTCACTGTCGACGATTTCGTGAGCTACGACCAAGTTCTTGCTGTTTTAGAACCATTCTTTCATGGGCGAGTGAGTGAGTGAGATTAGTCCGCGTTTGGTTATATTTGTGGTCAGATCATTTTCCAGGTTTCCATATGGTCACTGGGCCGGAAAATTCATAAAACTGTAATAATAACTGTAAATAATAACATTTTCAGCATAAAATCAGTGGTCGCTTTTTCTCCCCTGAATATAATTAACACTATTCAGAGTGTTGATGTTAAGTCTCATCTCATACTATTACAGGAATGCAGGTGTGGGAACACTCTTACCGTCAAACACGGTGATGTTGTCGGAGCAGTCAGCAGGGAGGGAGGGGTCGAGCAGGTCCACTCTGACGGCGTGGTCCCCAGGGGAGGTGACAAGGTACAGGCAGCTCAGGTCCCTGGGGGTCAAATATCAGGACACTGAGTGATGCTTGCGCGCTTGTCGTGGGAGGATGGTCATGTGGTAGATGAACATCTTCGTAAAACACTTCACTGCACGCTGTGCAGAGTTGCGTCCCTTTGGGACGCCAGAAACCTATGAACCCCGGTTCGCCCCGATTATGTTTCCGGGTTTGTCAGCACCATAGCCGTGCTCGTGGGTTTCACCAAAATGGAAAATGTTGGAGACCAGCATCACTTCGGGCTTTCCTCCCACATTAAGCTGACACGCCGTGATATAACGGGAATACTGTTAAAAGCGGCGTTAAACCCAACTCACTCATTCACTCTTCACTGCAGGGAGGATGCTAATCAATCAATGATATAACCAGGGTGAATATGGGGGTCGAAGCCCAGATCAACGTATCCCGGGACGCACTCGCGACAGTGTCAGCCTTACTGCCATACATAGACACAGGGCGAATATGGGGGTCGAAGCCGGGATCAACGGATCCCGGGGACCGCATCTCGCGACAATGTCAGCCTTCTTGCCTTACATAGACTCAGCTTCATATGATTCACAAGCTGCGTAAGAAAATTAAATGTTTCTAGGGAACGATTTTCTCAAAAGTGGAGAGATCGGTAGGACGTTTTTAAGTTTATTATTGAAAACAAAAAGTTATGTGGGAGGAACCGAGAATACCATTAAACTGAGTACACATTTATATCGGCTATTTGATAGAGTGTCAGTGGCCACAGAGGATCCGGGGGAAATTGGAATAAGTTTTTATTGGCAGGAATTTTGGTGACGCCTCCATGCCCGACAGTTTCCTTATTAACTTAAAACAATAGTGAAATGTTAAATAGTGAAATTATAAATGGTGAAATGATAAATACTGAAATGTCAAATAATGAAATGTTGAATAGTGAAATGATAAATACTGAAATGTTAAATAGTGAAATTATAAATAGTGAAATGATAAATACTGAAATGTCAAATAATGAAATGTTAAATAGTGAAATGATAAAAACTGAAATGTTAAATAGTGAAATGTTAACGTGTGAATCACAACAATCAGAATTTTGAGTGTTGAAGACTTTAAAATGTACTTCAAACAAAAGTCATTCGAAAATCCATCAATTTAACTGTTAACAAACACATTAAAATTAAATCACTATCAATGTAGGTGTGGCAGGAGTGGATACACCCCACTGTGTACGCTTGCTGACGGGGCTAACCGCTTCAGTCATATGGACAAGGTGAAGGTCTGTTGTTCGAATGCCATCGCAGGACACGTGCATTGTATGGCCGCTTCATTGGCGCCAAGAGTGTTGAGCGCGTTCAAACTGAGCAAAATAAGTCTCAGTGCCCCGCTATACGACCGGAACGTATCTTCTGTTGACGGGGAGGATGTAGCAGGGCATGGAGTTAACCTACAGGTGACACCCGTACCCTCTCAGCTTGCTGGCGGTGTTAACCTACAGGTGACACCCGTACCCTCTCAGCTTGCTGGCGGTGTTAACCTACAGGTGACACCCGTACCCTCTCAGCTTGCTGGCGGTGTTAACCTCTTTGGTTATGTGGACAAGGCGTTCTACCTCGGATCAGAAGGTCCGTGCTTCGAACCACCTCACGGGACTCGGAAGTTTATGGCCGCTACATATGCATTGTGAATCATCGTGAGATTATATATGTGTCTCTTGACGCTGACAAAATTTTAACCATGGTAGTTATCTGAAAACGATTAGTCTTAACTAGTTAGCAACAAACTGATGTGTGACAGGGTATGGTTTTACACCTAGAGTCAGTGTACACCTAGAGTCAGTGTACACCTAGAGTCAGTGTACACCTAGAGTCAGTGTACCCAGACACGTGAAGATCCGGGGTAGAATAGGTCTTCAGCATCCCATGCTTGCCGTAAAAGGTGACTATGTTCGTCGTAAAAGGCGACTAACGGGATCGGGTGGTCAGGCTAACTGACTTGGTTGATACATGTCATCGATACCAATTGCGTGGATCGATGCTCGTGATCACTGGATTGTCCGGTCCAGACTCGATTATTTACAGACCGCCGTCATATAGTTGGAATATTGCTGAGTGCGGCGTTAAACAACAAATCAACCAACCAACATAACAACAGTGTAACCAGGTCTTCGGGGTGGCGAACTAATCATTCATCAAGTAGACCACCCGACCGCTCCCCAACACTGACGCGAAAGCACATACCTTGCATAGGAGCTCGGATAACCCGGCGAATCTATGAATTGGTCCCTCTCCGAGGATTCTAGCTCCATAGTCCCGAAGCACCGGTTATCTGGAAAAAACATGTCAGACTTATGTCTGGGGGCATAGACACATTTAAGTGTCGGTCTGACGTTACTTGAGGAACGCGTTACAATGAAAACAAGTCACGTGTTACCTTAAGGCGACTTTAAAAAAGGAAGGTGGGTCAAACATTAATTATCGTTTTTATATCGACTCCACCTTTAATTCACTACAAACAAAATACTAAATACTAAATGGTAATACTGATAGAAAATACAGTAAATACGGTTATAGCGAACTCAAAGGGACTACTATTTTTAGTTCGTTATAACCGTAGTTCGTTATAAGCATGTATACAGCATAACTACAGCAAATAGTCGGGACTAAAAAGTAAGTTCGATATATCCGTCAGTTCGTTATAAGCGTGTTCGTTATAACCGTAGTTTACTGTACCCCTCTTCTAGCCAACATAATGGTTGCCTTTCGTTTTCTGTTTTATGTATTCACAGATTATGTATTTACTTGCAACGGAAAGGTGACGATTCGGGTACTGTACCTTCCAATGAGGAGTATTCCCACTGCACGTGAACGAAGTGCCCGGCTGTTGCTGTGATGAGCTCCACAAATAGGTAGGGGGATGTACTTGTGAAGACCGGCTGCCGAGTGAGGCGCTGTCCACAGTACTCCCCCAGTCGGGGCGATGACCGGTTGTACCCTGTGTGTTGGACGAACCACCTCGAAAACATATGTCACAAAACACACGTGGAACAAACAGTTCATGTAACTTAGAAACCTCAAAAAAATTATTTGTTTGTTTGTTTTTGCCGTTTTTATTTTCATCAACTTTACAAGTTCTATTCTTACTTACATTATCAATGCAAGTTATATCTTTATGTTAATCCACTGGCCGCGTCACACCAAAAAGACATTAAAAGATGGAACTTGTTGTTACCCTGCCTGGCTCTCGGAGATAAGCGGATAAAACAAGGACTTGTCGGCTCGGAGTCAGTATTCTGTGTCTGTATAAGCCCGAACGAGTTCAATCAGACACTCATACACACACGTGCATGCACGTCTCTATATACGTTAAATAATCTTGAACGCGACGTTAAGGCCCATTTCGGGGGCACGGGTAGCCCAGTCGTCTATGGCGCCGCAATTCGCTGTGCAGATTTGCGACCCTTGGGCACGCCAGAAACCTATGACTGTGGGTTCGAATCCCGGTTCGCCCCGATTATGTTTCTAGGTTTGTCAGCACCATACCCGTGCTCGTGGGTTTCACCGAAGTGGTAAACGTCTAAGACCTGCATCACTTCGGGCTTTCCTCCCACATTAAGCTGACACGCCGTGATATGACTGGAATACTGTTAAAAGCGGCGTTAAACACAACTCACTCACTCACTCACTAAGTCTGCTCACCTCGTCCGTGTACTGTTTACACAAACATAAAATACCAATATTCTTATAAATAGTTTGTTTTTGTGTCTGCATAAGACCATGCAGCCTACTAACCGTCAAACACCACGAAATAGTCGCCACTGCAGGGTACGCCCGGCCCTCGGACCAGGTTACTGTCCTTAAACGTTAACTTGACCAGCTTGTCCGCTCCGGCCGCCCGCAGGCGGAATGTACACTGGGTGGACCTGAAACAGAGTGAGTGAGTGAGTGAGTTGGGTTTAACGCCGCTTTTAACAGTATTCCAGTCATATCACGGCGTGTCAGCTTAATGTGGGAGGAGAGCCCGAAGTGATGCAGGTTTTAGACGTTTACCACTTCGGTGAAACCCACGAGCACGGGTATGGTGCTGACAAACCTAGAAACATAATTGGGGCGAACCGGGATTCGAACCCACAATTATAAGTTTCTGGCGTGCCCAAGGGACGCAACTCTGCACAGCGAATCGCGGCGCCTTAGATGACTGGGCGGACCTGAAACAGAAGCTCGTCTGGTTAAACGACATTTGCTGGGTCGCACTTTCTGTTCTCGGTCTCTTGTGCTATGGTGAGTGAGTGAGTAATGTCACGACAGCTAATCATGACTCATTTACCTTCCCCAAACCCTCTCACTTAACCATAACCCACCCACCAACACACTCACCCACCCACCCACACTCACTCAACTTTACTTCAAACTCTATTAACACAGGAGTTATCGGGTAGCCTAGTGGTTGGAGCGTTCGCTCGTCACACCGAAGACCCGGGTTCGATTCCAGCTTAATGTGGGAGGAAAGCCCGAAGTGATGCAGGTCTTAGACGTTTACCACTTCGGTGAAACCCACGAGCACGGGTATGGTGCTGACAAACCTAGAAACATAATTGGGGCGAACCGGGATTCGAACCCACAATTATAAGTTTCTGGCGTGCCCAAGGGACGCAACTCTGCACAGCGAATCGCGGCGCCTTAGATGACTGGGCGGACCTGAAACAGAAGCTCGTCTGGTTAAACGACATTTGCTGGGTCGCACTTTATGTTCTCGGTCTCTTGTGCTATGGTGAGTGAGTGAGTAATGTCACGACAGCTAATCATGACTCATTTACCTTCCCCAAACCCTCTCACTTAACCATAACCCACCCACCAACACACTCACCCACCCACCCACACTCACTCACTCACTCATCAACTTTACTTAAAACTCTATTAACACAGGGGTTATCGGGTAGCCTAGTGGTTGTAGCGTTCGCTCGTCACACCGAAGACCCGGGTTCGATTCCCGCGTGGGTACAATGTGTGAAGCCCATTTCTGGTGTCCCCCGCCGTGATATTGCTGGAATATTGCTAAAAGCGGAGTAAAACCATATCCACTCACTCACTATTAACACAGGCATTTGTGTCGTTGCTTAAATATTTCTAGACCAATAATTGTCACGGGTTTTTCAAATGATAGAATGTGTTATCCTATGATATCTTTATAATATGATAGCGAATTCCTTACACTCGTGCCGTTAAATCGTCTAGAAATATTTCAGCACCGACACAAGGGCATGTGTGTTGTGTCTATGACGTCCCCAGTATTAGAGAAGCAGTATTGGACGTTTACCTTGCTCCGTGGAAGTCAGGTAGGTCCATGCTGAGGAGGTCGGGCTGTACTGATACCACGATATCCTGAGTCTCCTTCTTACATCTGTACCCTGTAGCGAGAACAGTGTAGCGTACATCTTTTTAAAGAGAGGTGAGGTGAGGTGAAATGGGGTTTAACGTCGCGTCCAAGATTATTGCACTTATATAGCGACGTGCATGTACGTGCGTGTGTGTGTGTGTGGCTGCTTGTACTAGTCCGGACTGATGCCGATTTATAGTGCTAGCCCACTGAGATACCATGCCGCAGTTTAACATGGACACCCCACTCAGACACAGTATACTGACTCCGAGCCGACCAGTTCTTGTTTTAGCCCCTTAATGCCGAGCGCCAGACAGGGTAACAACAAGTACCATCTTTTAACGTCTTTTGGTATGACGCGGCCAGAGATCGAACCCCGGACCTTCCGTTCTCCGGGCGGACGCTCTACCACTAGACCACGGAGGCGGTCCTTTTTAAAGAGAGCAGTAGTGTTACAGCTGATACGGACAACACAGGGTCCGCGGGAAATTTGATTTTTATTTATTTTTATTGGCCGGGTTTTGAGTGACACCTCGAGGCCCTAGAACCAGTTCCCTTATAAGCCTAAATAGCGAAATGTTAAATAGTGAAATGTTAACGTGTGAATCACAACATTCAGAATTTTGAGTGTCGAAGAGTTAAAAATGTACTTCAAACAAAAGTCATTCGAAAATCCATCAACTTTACTGGTAACATTTAGATTAAATCAGTATCAGTATATGTGTCCCATCGAACTGTGTAGGCTTGCTGACGGGGTTAACCGCTTTAGTCATATGGACAAGGTGAAGGTCTGATGTTCGAATCCCATCACAGGACAATCAAAGTGTGTGTGGCAGGGTGGATATTTGGGACCCCCTTTAACGAGAGCAGTAGTGTTACAGCTGCCCCTGTAACATATGTGCTACATCGTTTTGCCTTGAGGTCTGTAACGAGACCGTGTGTGGCACATGTACCCTGCAAGTAATAGGGAAATATAGTCATTAGTCTAGAATCTGACTTTCAAGTCCACTGTCAGTATGGATTTAGAAGGGGATACCGAACATCAGATAATGTATTTGTTCTTCAAACATTAATATATTCTACAAAATGTAAACAGAAAAGAAAACACAGTTGCTTTGTAGACTTTCAAAAGGCCTTTGATTCAGTTGATATATCACTATTTCTAACACAGATATCAAATTAAACCCGAGGAAATGTATTAAAAATAATATCGTCACTATATCTCGTACGTAGTGAAAACTGACAAGGACATTTCGCAATCCTTGAACTCCAACATCGGGATAAGACAAGGATGCATTTTGTCTCCCACATTATTTAATAAATTCCTCAATGATCTTCCACTTTATATCAAATCTGAAAGTAATAATATAACACTTAATGGTTTAAACATTTGTCATTTGTTGTTTCCCGATGACTCAGTACTATTTGCCGATTCCCAAAAAACTACAAGTCTATTTTGAGCAACAAATAACCCAAAAAGATCAATGGTGCCAAAACTCATGTTGGTGATACAAAAATACTAGTTACGGATAGATATAACTTCTTAGGAATTTAAAGTTGAGCTATTTCGCAAGCCCCTTGCACAAAGGGAGCACAGCTCTTCGACTGAAATAATAGCGCTAAGATCGCTTTGTGTAACCGGGCCCTCCAGAATTATGCAAGATAACAGATACATTGAACATTTTATTTTAATATTCCACTTCAGTTTGTGCGCGCATCCGTTCAACGTACCAAATGTGGCGCCATTTGTGAACAGAACAGCGAAGTTAGTGTTGGAGAATTCCCGACGAATGCTTACAAGATCGACTGAAAGACTATCGGGTTTTATGATGACTTGCCCGGAAGTATTAAACAGACCTTCGGCCTTGACCTCCACCAGGTATCTGACCCCACTTCCGGCCACAGCTTGACCAATGACCAGCTCCGTCTCTTCAGGTCGGTAGTACGGCCGTCCCTCGTCCGAGCACTTGGGCTGATGCAGGAACTCCATTGTGTCAGCATCTGCGTGAGTAAGTGAGTGAGTGAGTGTGGTTTAATGGGGACCTGTACGTCACCGTGTCCAACTCGCACAAGCCTAGCTCCTTTAAATCCGAGGTGAACAGCCGAATCGCGGCATGTGAGTGAGTGAGTTGGGTTTAACGCCGCTTTTAACAGTATTCCAGTCATATCACGGCGTGTCAGCTTAATGTGGGAGGAAAGCCCGAAGTGATGAAGGTGTCGACGTTTACCACTTCGGTGAAATCCATGAGCACGGGTATGGTGCTGACAAACCTAGAAACATAATCGGAGCTAAGCGGGATTCGAACCCACAATCAAAGGTTTCTGGCCTGCCCAAGGGACGCAACTCAGCACAGCGAATCGCGGCGCCTTAGACGACTGGGCCCCCCGTGAAAGGTGCTGAAGGGCAAGGCTACCGTCATGTCGAATCCGCTACACGAACTAAGGACGAACTGTCAAGCGGCACTGACTATGTCACCACATTGCCAGGGCTGCATCGATGCACACCTACCTTATTGAAACATACCAATCCAGCACAGGTTGCACAGGCGTCAAAGGCACTGCAATTCGACGTGCAGAGTTGCTTCCCTTAAGCAAGCAGGAAACCTATGATCGTGGGTTCGATTCGAATTATGGTTCTAGGGTTGTCAGCACCATACCTGTGCTCGTGGGTTTCACTTGTAAAGTGGTAAACGTCTGAGACCTGCATCACTTCAGGCTTTCCTCCCACAGTATGCTGACACGCCGTGATATAACTGGAATACTGTAAGCAACTCTCTCTCTCTGTTGTTACCCTGCCGAGCGCTCGGGATTAAGGTCTAAACAAGTACTGGTCGGGTCGGAATGAGTATACTGTGTCTGAGTGGAGTTTTCATGTTAAACTGCGGCATGGTAACTCTCTGGGCTAGCGCGCGCAAACACACACACACACACACTAACACACACACACACACTAACACACAAACACACACACTAACACTAACACACACACACTAACACACACACATACACACACACACACAAACTAACACACTAATACACTAACACACACTAACACACTAACACACTAACAAACACACAACTCATGCACGACAGTATTTGGCGATCAACAATAAGCTGAAGCGCACATAAAAGTGGTGATGAATATACGGTAAGTCCTCTTATACGACCCGGCTCTGACGCAGCTTAAATCCAAATAAGCACCTGGTACATACTATTTAACATTGAAATGATAATTCGATTTTAGTAATTATTTCTTTAAAATCCTTAATGTCGGCCCTATATAAGCTGCCGGGTCTGGTAGCGGCAAATATAATCTCCTGGGCCCCTGTTCCCTGTTAGAGGAAATACGGTGTACCAATTCCTCGGTATTGTTTGTTTGTTTGTTAAGCAATATTATAGCTATGTGACGGCGGTTTAGAAATAGTCAAGTATGGACCATACAATCCAGTGATTGACATGATGAGCATCCATTTACGCAATTGGAATACGATGACATGCATCAACCAAGTCAGCGAGCCTGACCACCCGATCCCAAAGGGTGTGTTCTTAAGATGAACTTATAAAGCGATAGAAACGTGTACAACTTCACTGCCACTATAACAAAGGCCCTCCTTACATGAAGACACTTGTATGTAGTTGGAGCCGCAGTTGACGGCTGTTACTGATGTGGACGCCAGGACAGTGATGACCAGGCTGCTAGCTGGCCCTAGTGACCGGACTGCGGCGGACACAGGGCAAGGTTGACCACTGTAAAGGATTCAAGATATTGGCAGGTAGGTCCGGCAGCATGCGATTGATGAGTGAGTAAGTGTTTGTTTGTTTGTTGTTTAACGCCGCATTCAGCAATAGTCCAGCTATATGACGGCGGACTGTAAATAATCGAGTCTGGACCAGACAATCCAGTGATTAATATCATGATCATCGATCCACGCAATTGGGATCGATGACATGCATGAACCAAGTCAGCGAGCCTGACCACCCGATCCCGTTAGTCGCCTCTTACGACAAGCATAGTCACGTCTTACGGCAAGCATGGGTTGCTGAAGACCTATTCTACCCCGGAATCTTCACGGATCGAGTGAGTTGGGTTTAAGGACATGCTGGGTCACTCAGAACATATTGTGTAAGTACCTTGGTGGCGAGCCTTATACCTTACTTATCAATAAAATTACATTGCCAATTAAGTATACCAATGAAATCAGTAAATGATGTTCACTAAACTTCTCCAAACATTACAACCTCATACTTTTTCTAAGATGTAATTTTTAATTTCATTTGGCCGCCTTCACCTACATAATGCTGTTACATGATGTGATGCACTAATAACTGTTTACTCACTCCAGTCCGTAGGAGAACGGTACCCACATGTACACAGGGCTGAAGGGTATCTGGACAGTCGGGAAAGCACTGCTGTCGCAGTCACCTGTAACGATAAGGGTGAAAGACTGAGTCTCTGTGTGGGGGGGATTGGAGAGAGAGAGAGAGAGAGAGAGAGAGAGAGAGAGAGAGAGAGAGAAAGAGAGAGAGAGAAAGAGAGAGAGAGGAAAGAGCGAGAGGGGAGAGAGAGAGGAGAGAGGAGAGAGAGAGGGAGAGAGAGAGGAGAGAAAGAGAGAGAGGAGAGAGAGAGAGGGGGGAGAGGGGAGAGAGAGGGAGGGGGAGAGAGAGAGTGAAAGAGAGAGAGGAAAGAGCGAGAGGGGAGAGAGAGAGGAGAGAGAGGGGAGAGAGAGATGAGAGAGAAGAGAGAAGAGAGAGAGAGAGAGAGAGAGGAGAGAAAGAGAGAGAGAGAGGAGAGAGAGAGGGGAGAGAGGGAGGGGAGAGAGAGGGGAGAAAGAGAGAGGAGAGAGGGGGGAGCGAGAGAGGAGAGAGTGTGTGTGTGTGTGTATAGACAGGGCTGAAGGGTAGAGAGAGAGAGAGAGGAGAGGGAGAGAGGGAGAGAGTAATCATGATGAGATAGATCATTTGTAAGATCATTGAAGTTTCATTGTCCAAGTTTGCGTGTATCTTATGCCCTCAGATTTGTCTCCAGGGAGAATTACCCTTACCTGATGCTCTGGGCTGTCTGTAGGCCATGAGACCTAGCTGTGCTGGACTACGGGTGCCCACTCTTTTAGTGAGTCTGGTCTGAAGGAACAGCGAGCTACCAGAGCTGTACACGGCGGTAAAGCCCGTCTCCGTACACCACAACCTTATAGGGGCGCCTTCGTTGGTTGTTCCTGCAATAAGACAGCACAGGAACATACACACGTCCACTGCCATATCACTACCACGTGGAACACCAGGTATGCTGGAAAAGGCAGATGTGGGAACGAAGAAACTCTGTTATTTAAATCATAACTACGTATCTGTTCGACGTGCTCAACAGGGACGAGAAACAATACTTGCTTTAGTTATACAGGTTATAGCCGCTGTGACAGGTACTTTTGTTATATACTACTCAAAAGAGGTTAAGGAACCTGATTCTGGCATTTACTGTAGTTAATCTGTCATGCAGTATATTGAAAGTATATATCTTGGGTATGCAGTGTGCCATTTCTTGGTGCATATGTACTGGGCCAAAAGTTATGATTCTCGTATGAATCTTGGCTTTAGTATATCCTAGACAGGAGGAATTGAAATGATGGATATAGACTTGTGTTTTGTTTCTGTGTCGAGAAAGGGGTATTTAAAACCCATCCTCCTCACTAATTCGTACACCACCAACATTACCAACAACAGAAACAACAAAACTACCATCACCACCATCATCATCACCACTTGTCACCAAAATCACCTTCACCACCACCACTATCACCGCCAACATCATCATCAACACAACACATCAACACCCTCATCATCACGACGACCACCACCATCATCATCAACACAACACATCAACACAACAACACACCACAATCACCACCCCTCACCATCACCGACAACACAACCACAATCCCCATAATCACCACCACAAAACACCACGATCACCACCACCACTAACACAACCACCACCATCATCACCACCCCATCACCACCACTAACACAACCGCCCCCATCACCAACCATAATACAACCACAACCACCAATAACACAACCATCCCCATCACCACCACTAATACAACCACCACCACCACCACCACTAACACAACCACCCCCATCACCACCACTAACACAACCACCACCATCACCACCACTAACACAACCACCACCACCACCACCACCACTAACACAACCACCCACATCACCACCACTAACACAACCACCCACATCACCACCACTAACACAACCGCCCCCATCACCGACCATAATACAACCACAACCACCAATAACACAACCATCCCCATCACCACCACTAACACAACCACCACCACCACCACCACTAACACAACCACCCACATCACCACCACTAACACAACCACCCACATCACCACCACTAACACAACCACCCACATCACCACCACTAACACAACCGCCCCCATCACCGACCATAATACAACCACAACCACCAATAACACAACCATCCCCATCACCACCACTAACACAACCACCCACATCACCACCACTAACACAACCACCCACATCACCACCACTAACACAACCACCCCCATCACCACCACTAACACAACCACCACCACCAACACCACCACTAATACAACCACCACCACCACCACCACCACTAACACAACCACCACCACCACAGCTAACACAACCACCACCACCACCACCAATAACACAACCATCACAAACACAACCACCACCATCACCACCATCACTAACACCACCACACCACGACTAACACAACCACCACTAACACAACCACAATCATCACCACCACCACTAACACCACCACCACCATCACCATCACAACCACCACTAACACCACCACACCACGACTAACACAACCACCACTAACACAACCACCACCACCAACACGACCACCACAACCACCACATCACCACCTCCACCACCACTATCACAACCACCACCACTGACACAACCAACACCACCATCACAACCACCACCACCACCACCACCAACACAACCACAACCATCACCATCACCACCACCACCACTAACACAACATCACCACCACTAACACAACCACCACCATCACTACAACCCATCAACACCTCTTGCCCCGCCTAAATGCTCACCATCGTATGCTGTGATGTGGTCTGTTGTACAGTCAATGTCTACAGCCAAAGTGCCTGACACTGGTCTCAGCAGCAGCACGTGGTCTGTGTCTGTCTCAAGCAGGAAGTCGCATGTCGAGCCCCTGAAACAAAAAGCAACATCGACAGGTAGTGACGTGCCATGTTAACTCTCCGATCCCGATTTGATAAGCCTTTTACAAACACTTATTTGAGACCCTTTGCCATTCTTTGACTTTAATATCAATATCAATATCATGCATATCACTCGTAACAAAACCTTTAGGTCAACAACTGACCCTGCAATGTAGACGCCACGTCAGCCGTGACCTCCATAACTCACCACGCAATGTAGACGCCACGTCAGCCGTGACCTCCATAACTCACCACGCAATGTAGACGCCACGTCAGCCGTGACCTCCATAACTCACCACGCAATGTAGACACAACGTCAGCCGTGACATCCATAACTCACCACGCAATGTAGACACAACGTCAGCCGTGACATCCATAACTCACCACGCAATGTAGACGCCACGTCAGCCTTGACCGCCATAACTCACCACGCAATGTAGACACCACGTCAGCCTTGACCTCCATAACTCACCACGCAATGTAGACGCCACGTCAGCCGTGACCTCCATAACTCACCACGCAATGTAGACGCAACGTCAGCCGTGACCTCCATAACTCACCACGCAATGTAGACACCACGTCTGCCTTGACCGCCATAACTCACCACGCAATGTAGACACCACGTCAGCCGTGACCTCCATAACTCACCACGCAATGTAGACGCCACGTCAGCCGTGACCTCCATAACTCACCACGCAATGTAGACACCACGTCGGCCGTGACCTCCATAACTCACCACGCAATGTAGACGCCACGTCTGCCTTGACCTCCATAACTCACCACGCAATGTAGACACCACGTCAGCCGTGACCTCCATAACTCACCACGCAATGTAGACACAACGTCAGCCGTGACATCCATAACTCACCACGCAATGTAGACGCCACGTCAGCCTTGACCGCCATAACTCACCACGCAATGTAGACACCACGTCAGCCGTGACCTCCATAACTCACCAGGCAGTGTAGTCGGGTAGATCCAGCCGTTGGGGTGTGGCACCTATCTCCACCCTCTGCACCTCGCCGGGTACACACTGGGGGTAGTTCACACTACGATTCCCTGTTTACACCAAGACACACCTTGTGAGAATTAATGTTGTTTAAAACCTCAGTCAGCAATATTCCAGGTTTATCACAACGGCCTTGAAATAAAAGAACGGCCTGTAAAATGAAGGCAAGAACAGCGCTCGCTCCAAGGCATCTGAGTACATGGTCAAGTCAGAGAGCATGGCCACCAGCACCTCTTCAGACATACATGATGTACTGGTGGTCTATTCTGACCTTGAATCCCAAGGGTAGGCACGTTAGAAACATGGCTCATCCCATTATTGAATGGGGACCTATTCTGACCCTGAAACCCAACGGTAGACAATGAGTGAAAGGTTATTTGATATCATTTGGTGACTATCGTCATGTATAATTCATGTTACAAGTGACGTGAAGTCTGCCTTACCTTCAAGCGCCTCCCAGTATCTGAGAGCAAATCCCCGGCCCACCCTTGCACTGTCAGCAGAGAAGGACAGGTAGGCTGACCCCCCGGGCTCCGTCTTCACCAGGGTAGGTGCACGTCTCCCACAAATTCGATCTAGCATCTTGCCACCAGTGTCAGCTCCTGTATAAACATGACACACTGACACCGGTCACATCTAATCAGTTCCTGTATAAACATGACACACTGACACTGGTCAAAACATCTAATCAGCTCCTGTATAACATGACACACTGACACTAGTACTGGTCACATCTAATCAGCTCCTGTATAAACATGACACACTGACACTGGTCAAAACATCTAATCGGCTCCTCTATAAACATGACACACTGACACTGGTCACAACATCTAATCAGCTCCTGTATAAACATGACACACTGACACTGGTCAAAACATCTAATCAGCTCCTGTATAAACATGACACACTGACACTGGTCACAACATCTAATCAGCTCCTCTATAAACATGACACTCTGACACTGGTCACATCTAATCAGCTCCTCTATAAACATGACACACTGACACTGGTCACATCTAATCAGCTCCTGTACAAACATGACACTCTGACACCGGTCACATCTAATCAGCTCCTGTAAAAACATGACACACTGACACCGGTCACATCTAATCAGCTCCTGTATAAACATGACACACTGACACTGGTCAAAACATCTAATCAGCTCCTGTATAAACATGACACACTGACACTGGTCACAACATCTAATCAGCTCCTGTATAAACATGACACACTGACACCGGTCACATCTAATCAGCTCCTGTATAAACATGACACACTGACACTGGTCACAACATCTAATCAGCTCCTCTATAAACATGACACACTGACACTGGTCACAACATCTAATCAGCTCCTGTATAAACATGACACACTGACACTGGTCACAACATCTAATCAGCTCCTCTATAAACATGACACTCTGACACTGGTCACATCTAATCAGCTCCTCTATAAACATGACACACTGACACTGGTCACATCTAATCAGCTCCTGTATAAACAAGACACACTGACACTGGTCACATCTAATCAGCTCCTGTACAAACAAGACACACTGACACTGATCACAACATCTAATCGGCTCCTCTATAAACATGACACACTGACACTGGTCACAACATCTAATCAGCTCCTGTATAAACATGACACACTGACACTGGTCACAACATCTAATCAGCTCCTCTATAAACATGACACACTGACACTGGTCACAGCATCTAATCAGCTCCTGTATAAACAAGACACACTGACACTGGTCACAACATCTAATCAGCTCCGGTATCAACATGACACACTAACACTGGTCACATCTAATCAGCTCCTGTATAAACAAGACGCACTGACACTGGTCACAACATCTAATCAGCTCCTGTATAAACAAGACACACTGACACTGGTCACAACATCTAATCAGCTCCTGTATAAACAAGACACACTGACACTGGTCACAACATCTGATAAGCTCCTCTATAAACATGACACACTGACACTGGTCACAACATCTAATCAGCTCCTGTATAAACAAGACACACTGACACTGGTCACAACATCTGATAAGCTCCTCTATAAACATGACACACTGACACTGGTCACAACATCTAATCAGCTCCTGTATAAACAAGACACACTGACACTGGTCACAACATCTGATAAGCTCCTCTATAAACATGACACACTGACACTGGTCACAACATCTAATAAGCTCCTGTATAAACATGACACACTGACACTGGTCACAACATCTAATCAGCTCCTCTATAAACAAGACACACTGACACTGGTCACAACGTCTAATCAGCTCCTGTATAAACAAGACACACTGACACTGGTCACAACATCTAATCAGCTCCTGTATAAACATGACACACTGACACTGGTCACGGCATCTAATCAGCTCCTGTATAAACAAGACACACTGACACTGGTCACGGCATCTAATCAACTCCTGCAAAACATGACACACTGACACTAGTACTGGTCACATCTAATCAGCTCCTGTATAAACATGACACACTGACACTGGTCACGGCATCTAATCAACTCCTTAATATTATCGGAAGTGAATTATTATGATTTTACGCCGCTTCAAGCAATTTCGAACCTTGGCCTTCGGTTTAACGAGAGAACGCTTCAGCGTCAATGCTACCCGACATGACCATAGCACACCACTGAAGAGCACATGACCTAATGTCATGACCATAACACACTACTGAAGAGCACGTGATCTAATGTCATGAACATAACACACCACTGAAGAGCACATGATCTAATGTCATGTACATAACACCCCACTGAAGAGCACATGATCTAATGTCATGACCATAACACACCACTGAAGAGTACATGATCTAATGTCATGACTATAACACACCACTGAAGAGAACATGATCTAATGTCATGACCATAACACACTACTCAAGAGCACATGATCTAATGTCATGACCATAACACACCACTGAAGAGCACATGATCTAATGTCATGACCATAACACACTACTGAAGTGCACGTGATCTAATGTCATGACCATAACACCCCACTGAAGAGCACATGATCTAATGTCATGACCATAACACACTACTGAAGAGCACATCATCTAATGTCATGACCATAACACCTCACTAAAGAGCACATGATCTATTGTCATGACCATAACACACTACTGAAGAGCACATGATCTAATGTCATGACCATAACACACTACTGAAGATCACATGACCTAATGTCATGACCATAACACACTACTGGAGAGCACATATGCTTATAACGAACTTCTGTTATAACGAACTAAAATAAGTTGTCTCTTTGAGTTCGTTATAACCGTAGTTTACTGTATTACCATATATTTGATATTGTACATCTCGAAAGAAAATTGTGTTAAAGCTAGGGTAAAAGATAGATTACCCAGACAATATTTTCTGGAAACCTCTAACAAGATCGTGTAAGGCACCGGGTGAGGTGAGGTTAGGTGAAATGGGGTTTAACGTCGCGTCCAAGATTATTGCAGTAATATAGCGACGTGCATGCCTGTGTGTGTGTGTGGCTGCTTGTACAAGACCGGACTGATGCCGATTTATAGTGCTAGCCCACTGAGATACCATGCCGCAGTTTAACATGAATACCCAACTCAGACACAGTATACTGACTCCGAGCCGTCCAGTCCTTGTTTTAGCCCTTTAATGTCGAGCGCCAGACAAGGTAACAACAAGTACCATCTTTTAACGTCTTTTGGTATGACGCGGTCGGGGATCGAACCCCGGACCTTCCGCTCTCCGTCTCTACCACTAGACCGTGGAGGCGGTCCATACACAACGGAGTTACATGACACATTTTATGCGATAGAAAGTCAAGATAACAATTCACCTCGTAACACAAACGCGTAATGTATGTGCAAATCTGGTTGAATTCGTAGTCGCGGGCCCTTGTCGGTCAGTTATGGAGAAACGCTTTTAACATTGAAAGGAGGTAAAGACATACGTCTCCCTTTAAGTCCGAACATGTGATCAATTGTGTTGTGATTTCTAAACGTTTGGTTCAATTAATAAAATACCCAGTCGCTGTGGGTAAACCAGGCACTTATCGTCAAGGAATCAGTTTGATAACTCCCCAAAACGAGATGTTTAACAACACTTAATTTACCCCATATAGTGAGTGGTGGTCGGGTAGCCTAGTGTTAACGCCGCTGACCCGGGTTCGATTCCCGACATGGGTACAATGTGTGAAGCCCATTTCTGGTGTCCCATGCCTTGATATTGCTGGAATATTGCTAAAAGCGGCGTAAAACCATACTCACTCACCCGAATGAAACAGAAATGTAAATAATTTATGGGTCACATATATAACCCACCAAACGTCATACCTTTCTTCGCTGACCGGCTTATATCTCATAAACACGTCTCCTGGACGTGATGTCAAATCCCTGGGATTTCATCTACCATACCTGGACGTACGAACATAAATAACCCGCATGTCCCCTCCATAAATGACCTGGCTCTGACCTGGCTCTGATCTGGCTCTGATCTGGTTGTTCTTACAAACAACCTCAAATATTGTCTTCAATTCCCCGTTTCTGGAAACCCTTATTACGCATCGAGTGACATTTCGTTTTTGATTCTTCCTCTTCCATGACTGGGCTTTACGAAACGTTTGAAGTGGTGCTTTATAGATGTTAGAAATTATTACCGGCATGTACAGTAAACTACGGTTATAACGAACTCGAGGGGACCGCTGATTTTAGTTCGTAGTAACCGTAGTTCGTTATAAGCATACATGCAACATATATACGACAAATGGTCGGGACTGAAAAATAAGTTTGTTATATCCGTCAGTTCGTTCTAAGGGTGTTTCGTTATAAACGTAGTTTACTGTAGTTAAATGTTCTAACATTACCATTAACTGGTATGTGAAATGTGTAATGTGCAATATCATATGAATGATGGTACAAGGTTGTCAGGGGCGGTGGGATGAATACTAATGAATACTATCAATAGTGGAGGTGCTCATTTTTCATCCGAGGGTGACTAATCCAAGAGTGAGTGAGTGAGTGAGTATGGTTTCACGCCTCTGTAAGCGGTGTTCCAACAATATCACGACGGGGACACCAGATATGGAACCAATGTAACCATGTCGGGAATCGAACGCTTTAACCACTGGACTAGCCGACCGCCCCAAACTATTTAAGAAGACAACAACGACTAAAAAAATATTCCTATGCAGAACACAATTTCTTACCGGCGTATATGGTGAGGTTGTCACTGCAGACGCCGTGTGTGTCGTCCAGGTCGACGTCGACCACCTCGATGTACACGCGGGCACCTGTCGTCGCTGGGTACAGCCGCCAGCTGCAGGATGCTGCACTGAGAAGGGGATCCACGCATCATAACTGATGCTGCACGTGCTTTTACGTCAGGCTTGTAGTTAATGTATAGTTAGATACCACTTGCACAACGAGATCTTTAACGACTACTCACCATCAGGTCCGTAAATGATGACTGTGTCATCAGGCCTATAAATGATTACTTCATCATCAGGTCCATGAAATATTAATGGGTCATTGGGTCCATAAATGATTTCTGTATCATAATGTTCATTACAAAATATTTTATCATCTGGTCCATGAGATATTACTGTATCATAAGGTCCATAAAAGATTACTGCATCATCAGGTCCGCAACATATTAATTCATCATCAGGTCCATGAAATATCACTGTATCACCAGGTCCCTAAAAGATTACTGCATTATCAGGTATATGAAATATTACTGTATCACCAGGTCCCTAAATGATTACTGCATTATCAGGTATATGAAATATTACTGTATCACCAGGTTCGTAAATTATTACTGTATCATCGGGGTCATAATTAATTCCTGTACCATAAGGTCCATAAGCAATCCATGTGTGCACATGCCAATTACTACTTCCTGCACAAACAGGAATCTATACTGTATCATTATATTATACTACAGAGTCTATATGATGAAGGTGTTGTATATCGAGCAGGCAGGTCATCAAGAATTCCTGTTAATGATTTTTTGTATGATGCGGCCGGGGATTGCAGCACCGAAATTCACCGGGCAGACCCCTAAACAGTAGAACAGGGACTTAAAGACTAGAAAGAAGTTCTTCCTATAGTGGCTTCACTCACTCTATCACTTGGACAGGGAGGCGGTGTTAAAGACTAGAAATAAGTTCTACCTATGGCGGCTTCACTAACTCTATCACTTGGACAGGGAGGCGGTGTTAAAGACTAGAAATAAGTTCTACCTATGGTGGCTTCACTCACTCTATCACTTGGACAGGGAGGCGGTGTTAAAGACTAGAAATAAGTTCTACCTATGGTGGCTTCACTCACTCTATCACTAGGTCAGGGAGGCGGTGTTGAAGACTAGAAATAAGTTCTACCTGTGGTGACCTCACTCACTCTATCACTAGAACAGGGAGGCGGTGTTAAAGGCTAGAAATAAGTTCTACCTATGGCGGCTTCACTCACTTTATCACTAGGACAGGGAGGCGGTGTTGAAGACTAGAAATGAGGTCTACCTATGGTGGCTTCACTCACTCTATCACTAGAACAGGGAGGCGGTGTTAAAGACTAGATATAAGTTTTAACTGTGGTGGCTTCACTCACTCTATCACTAGGACAGGGAGGCGGTGTTAAAGACTAGAAATGAGGTCTACCTATGGCGGCCTCACACACTCTATCACTAGGGCAGGGAGGCGGTGTTAAAGACTAGAAATGAGGTATAACTGTGGTGGCTTCACTCACTCTATCACTAGAACAGGGAGGCGGTGTTAAAGACTAGATATAAGTTTTAACTGTGGTGGCTTCACTCACTCTATCACTAGGACAGGGAGGCGGTGTTAAAGACTAGAAATGAGGTCTACCTATGGCGGCCTCACACACTCTATCACTAGGGCAGGGAGGCGGTGTTAAAGACTAGAAATGAGGTATAACTGTGGTGGCTTCACTCACTCTATCACTAGGACAGGGAGGCGGTGTTAAAGACTAGAAATAAGTTCTACCTATGGTGGCTTCACTCACTCTATCACTAGAACAGGGAGGCGGTGTTAAAGACTAGAAATGAGTTCTACCTATGGCGGCTTCACTCACTTGGTATAGCTGCTGGGGTAGTTGGTTGAGAAGATGCTGGCCTGCTGGGCCGTGGCAGCCAACTCGACATGACCCTCACAGCTCTCGGCTGAAATAAACAATAACACGTTGGTTTCCTGACTCATGGCATCCATCGCCAAAGGAGAGTGGAAACTGTACCTTTAACATCGCATCCTATTTGATGAAAGGAATTATTTCGGATGCATACAACTTGTTACAAACACCCAGCGCCGTCACCCAATTGTCGTTGGCGTGAGATGACTGTGACTGATATACATTTGCTCAAAATGGTAAAATTCACATAAAGATACAAAACAACTCGGAACTCGGTAGTTTGTTGTATAGATAAACATCTGATACGACAGATATGTTATAGGACCTTGAAAGAGTTTTATCCTAATTATTCACTTGTTCTTGGGATGTCAGGGTTACATAGCCTGACAGCTGATCGGGCGTTTGAGGGTACCTTACAATGCACCTCTTGTCTTCACCCAGTTTTGTGATCTCAGGGATACATAGCCTGACAAGTGATCGGGCGTTTGAGGGTACCTTACAATACACCACTTATCTTCACCAGTTCTGTGATCTCAGGGTTACATAGCCTGACAGGTGATCGGGCGTTTGAGGGTTCGATTCCCATTGTCCATAATGAAAAAGTTTCATGTCTACTCTTGTTTGGAACATTGGACGTTTAAAGCACCAAGTCCATACTTCATCTGCTCATCAGGACTTATCAAATTTCATACTCGGTCTTACTAGTAAAATCTAATACCCTGAATGAGGTCTCACTAACAAAAAGTAAAACGTCGATAACCGTGAAGATAAACATATAGAACACACACGCACACACAACACAACACAACACACACACACACACACACACACACACACACACACACACACACACACACACACACACACACCACACCACACCACACACACACAGACACACCACACACAGACACACCACACACAAACACCACACACACACACACACACACACACCACACACACACACACCACACACACACACACACACACACACACACACACACACACACACACACACACACACACACACACACACACACACACACACCACACAAACACACCACACACAAACACACCACACACACACACACACACACACACACACACACACACACACAAAACACACACAAAACACACACACACACACACAACACACACACACACACACACACACACACACACACACACACATCCACCTGAATTTCCATGCTTAAAGATGTATACGAGATACACAACTGGCAGCCCTGGTTGAGTGATATAGGGTTGTACAGGTTACAGCGTGAGGCCAAGTCGACCGGTTCTCGTGTACTAGTTATTGTCTTTCACAGATTACTGATGAATACCATCCCCGGTTTCATAGGCTACCTACCATGGTATGATATCAGTGGTATGAATTGGTAATGAATGAATTTGTAATGTCAATGTATGGTCGAGGTAAATCGAAGTATGCATGTTATTTTGACCTTCAATGAATGTTTTTATAATATATATAAAGATAAACAGACATGTATATATATGTTTATAAGATGATATTTGGTACTGAGCAGTGTGATACGCAGGATGCAAAAAACAATACTATTTGATACATATATTCAACATTTAAAGAGCATGACGGTTTACATTAAAATTCCCTCATAATATTTTATTTTCGATATTTTTTCAGTAATGTCTTCAAATCGCAACTTTTTCACAAAGCATTCGCAATTTGTGTTAAGTAGCATCCGTGATTCATGGGAGGGCGGATTTGGCGTTCTCTGATACTGTCCGTGACATATTTGAATTCAAGGTACGGCTCCTTCTTGACGGCAAGGCAGATCTTCCTCACATTTTTCTCTCTGTCCAAGAGTTCATCACTGAAAGTCAGCGTTGCATGCCTTTCCTTTTTATCACCAATCTCTTCTGTCCATCCTTCTTGTGATATATGTTATTGTAAACGAAGCATTGTCAATAGCTTTAGGAGCAAGTAACCTAAACCTTCGGTCGAGATGTATACTATTTATCTCCATACGAAATGCATTATCAATGAAAACTGAAAGTTCAGTTAGTTTCCTGTTGGTAACATCACTCCTTATTAAGCTAACCGAGGAAAAAGGCTAAACGTGGCAATCTTATCAAGATGGCATTTAAATATATATTTTGATACTTCCCCGCATACCATGTGCCCTGGTGGATGATTGTTAAACACAAACTTCTGAAATTACCCTTTCATGTCAACCAAAGAATGATATACCCACGGGCAAGACATTACACTTTAAGCACGTAGGTCTGCTAGGTAGAGCGCAACAATAACTTCCTGTAGGTGAGGTGAAGTGAAATGGGGTTTAACGTCGCGTCCAAGATTATTGCACTTATATAGCGACGTGTGTGTGTGTGTTTGTGTGGCTGCTTGTACTAGTCTGGACTGATGCCGATTTATAGTGCTAGCTCACTGAGATACCATGCCGCAGTTTAACATGAATACCTCACTCAGACACAGTATACTGACTCCGAGCCGACCAGTCCTTGTTTTAGCCCCTTAATCCCGAGCGCCAGACAGGGTAACAACAAGTACAATCTTTTAACGTCTTTTTGTATGACGCGGTCCGGGGATCGAACCCCGGACCTTCCGCTCTCCGGGAGGACGCTCTACCACTAGACTACGGAGGCGGTCACAACCTCCTGTAAGGGTGGGATAGTTCGAATTCCAAACAAACTCACTGACACACACTCACACACATAGACACACTCGACCACACATACATATACACACAGACACACACTCACACACATACACACACAGACAAACATATACGAACACACTCACATACTCACACACACTCAAACTTTCTCACACACTTATACCACTAACATACATTCACAGACACACACACACACACACACACACACACACACACACACACACACACACACACACACACACACACACACACACACACATACATACATACATACATACATACATACAGACACACGCACTCTCTCACACACAGAAATCACAGAAACACACTCATACACATACACACATACACACTCTCACACAGACAACATACTCACACACGCACTCACACACACACACACACATACAGACACACGCACTCTCTCAAACACAGAAAACATAGAAACACACTCATACACATACACACACATACACACTCTCACACAGACAACATACATTCACAGACACACACACACAGACACACACATACATACAGACACACGCACTCTCTCACACACAGAAAACACAGAAACACACTCATACACATACACACATACACACTCTCACACAGACAACATACTCACACACGCACTCACACACACTCACCCACACAGACACACACTCACCCACGCACACACACACATATTCACACACAGACACACATATAGACACACTCACTCACGCACACACACATTCACACACACAGTCACACACACACACTCACACATACATTCAGACACAGACACACACTCACATACACCTTCTCACACACACACTTACACACACACTCACACTCACACTCACACACACACACTCACATATACACAGATACACGTATTCTCCCACACACATACAGATGTGAGATTTGAGGTTAGAAAAGATCCAGTTATGTTTGTCGTAAAATGTGACTTAATGGATCGGTCACTTGGTTGATGACGAGTACTCCGAGGTTGCGGGACGTAATAATATAAATCACTGGTTTGTCTTGTCCAGTGTCGATTGTTTACTGACCGCCGGAATATTGCTGAATGCGGCGTCATATAACATTCAACAGTTTAGATAAAACGGCTGTGCAAAACTAGTAAAAACTGATTTTCAAGTTTGGTTTTCAACCTGTTTTATCTGCGCCAGACGCTAGTGTATACGTAGACACCATCGCTTGAGGGTTCACAAATCTTAAGTGTTTGGCTTTGTTCGTCATTTGCAATTGCAGGGTAGAGTTATGGTCGTATTTCATTCGCGTTCTGTTTAGAAGGCACTGAAGCATGTTGCATATGTCAACCTCGGCTTTCACATACTCGTGTATTATAAAGCCGTATGTTTGGCCATCACTGGAGGTAGAGCTGACAACTGCCCCGTTCACAATAAATAACTCCCAGTAATATACACCGGGACTTGAATTAAGGTGAGAAACACTCGATCAATCAATGACAGAAATCCGACCTGCAACACTGTCGTGTGTATAGATGCACTGTAACGCTCTACATACACCCTGACATCTTGGTAAGCTGGTGTATATATTAAACGTCTGTAACAGACCGCAGGGGGCATTATACTCATGGCTATAGGCAAAAGTAACTGGTCATATAAACCATGACGATGTGGACTAGTATACACAGTGAGTGAGTGAGTGAGTGAGTGAGTGAGTGAGTGAGTGAGTGAGTGAGTAAGGGAGTGAGTGAGTGAGTGAGTGAGTGAGATGTTGAGTGGTTGAGTGGTTGAATGAGTGAGTGAGTGGTTGAGTGAGTGGTTGAGTGAGTGGTTGGTTGAGTGAGTGAGTGAGTGAGAGTGAGTGAGTGAGTGAGTAGTGAGTGAGTGAGTGAGTGAGTGAGTGAGTGAGTGAGTGAGTGAGTGAGTGAGTGAGTGAGTGAGTGAGTGAGTGAGATGTTGAGTGGTTGAGTGGTTGAATGAGTGAGTGAGTGGTTGAGTGAGTGGTTGAGTGAGTGGCAGGCTGAGTTAAACACGCACTGTGTCTGAAAAGAGAGGGTTCAGCCCACTGAAAACCACAAAACCCCGACTCACATTTTCTAAAACTAAATGTCACATATAATTAACTGTGGCCTTAATGTTCCCATATTTACCTGACTATCCCAATCTACATTGTGTTTATGGTTGATATCGTCATGTCATCACATGTATACATACGGTACATAACAGACTGACTGATTTGATTTCCTCGGCAAATATGACACATTAATTCATAAATTAAGTCAGAACTGACCACCACGTCATAAACGACTCACCTGTTGGCATCACGTGCACCCACACCACGAAAACCAGGGCCCATGCCACTCTCTGGAAATGCATGCTGCAGTCGAGGCAGGCCGCCTTGGAATAACGGAGCATGTAGGTCTACCCCTTTAAGTCGCCATACAAACATGAACTGTATTGTGATCCTGCTTCATCTACCCCGGGTAGGCGGGGCTGTATCTTTAACCCTTTCTAACCACGTAACCAGATTCACTGTCGTCCAAAACCAACTGCAATTGCCAGTAAACGAATATGTGTTTTAAAGGTGGATCAAAGCCTTTTCATTCCCGGGTAGAATAGGTCTTCAGCAACCTATGCTTGCCGTAAAAAGGTGACTATGCTTGTCGTAAGAGTCGACTAACGGGATCGGGTGGTCAGGCTCGCTGACTTGGTTGATGTCATCCTATCCCTATTGCGAGGATCGAGGCTCATGATGTCAATCACTGGATTATCTGATCCAGACTGGATTATTTACAGACCGCCGTCATGTAGCTGGAAGGTTGCTGAGTGCGGCTTTAAACAACAAACAAAATATATACATTCTTTCCCCATTGTTGTTGTCGTTGTTGTTGTTATTGTTGTTATTGTTATTGTTTGGGTGGTCGGGTAGCCTAGTGGTTAAAGCGTTCGCTCGTCACGCCGAAAACCCGGGTTCGATTCCCGACATGGGTACAATGTGTGAAGCCCATTTCTGGTGTCCCCCGCCGTGATATTGCAGGGATATTGCTAAAAGCGGCGTAAAACCAAACTCACTCACTCACTCACTCACTCACTCACTGTTGTTATTGTTGTTTCTTTGTGTCGTTAAGCAGCTGACTAGAAGTAAAAGCTGGTCTTCACTTCGTTAAACATGAAATTTAAATATTGCATATTTTTCATTTATTCATTTTAGTCGTGAATGTAAGTATATATATTTTCTAAAACTGTTTTCATTTCATTTTCAGGACAATTAATTAAGACGTATTTGTAACAACGAAGTCACATTTAAAGTGTTAACACTGACTTAGTGTGCCACCGATCTCGTTATATGTCTCTCTATACAAACGCAACAGTCAACGGCGGTTCAGCTCGCCTTCAGCGTGACGACAGTATCATTGTCGAGTCCTGTCACGGATGTTTTGTATGTCCATAACGCCCTCCTGTAACCCATAGTGTCCATGACAGAGAGTGTACACACGGGACGGGATTTCTATAGCTCAGCAGGTGATTATAATCAATAAATGGATCACCGTTTGGCCGGACATTCAGGGTCTTCACAGACCTTTGACCGTCACCTCTCTGTGACATTCCTGGTTGTTTTGGGGGGAAAAGCTATGTCCGAATCTATATCGACATGTTTGTCTGTTTGTTGTTTAACCCAGAGCTCCAGATAAGCTGCGTATCTGCGTGAAATACGCATCAGAAATGCAGAAATACACAGTAAAATATAATCTAAGCGTATCAAATACGCAACGAACGTTACAGATACGCTACTAAAATCAAACTTGTGCGTATCATCAAAATATTGTGAAGTAACCCTGCGTATACGATTAGCAAATCAGCAACTTATTTTGAAATTATAACGGGCATTCCGTCAACCTTGCCAAACTCCACGATGACAGTTACATCATGATCATTTGCCATCACACTTTCTTGTGGAAGTATCGTGGTATTTTTTAGTCCTATAAAGCTCTCCAACCCACACGACACCACTTTGTAGGGACTAGATGAATAGAGTTTTTAAATATTTAACTTAAATACCCACATGTGTAAAAACTAGTGGGTAACAGAAATTTGAATACGCAGATAGAATTACTGATACCCAATGATTTTAAAAATGCATGGGTAAAATACCCACAACACCAAAAGCTTATCTGGAGCTCTGTTAACGCCGCACTCAGCAATATTCCAGCTGTTTGACGGCGGAATGTAAATAATCGAGTCTGGACAAGACAACCCATTGATTGATATCATTAGCATTGATCTACGCATTTGGGATACGATGACCTGCAACAACCAATACAGCGAGTCAGGTCCGCCCGATCCCGTTAGTCGCCACTTACGACAAGCATATTCTAACCCGGATCTTCACGGGTCTGTGTCGACGTATCAGTACATGATATATGATTATACCCACACAATATCAATATAATCTTTTACAATTGTGTGCGTTTTTATACCATTTCTAGCAGTATTCTGATCGTATTGCACTGGTCACCGTTGCCTTTTTTCAGAACCCGGAACCTAGGCATGATGCGCTTACGCCTGTTCTACTGGGCTAACCTACCGCCTAGTTGGAACGGCTTCCGAAGTTACGATCGTTAATAGTGAGATCAAGAATTAAACTGTTTTTTGATGGCAAGGAGATAATGTATACGCTAAGTGATTCGTGTATTCCATATTAATGTGGTATTATTGTGTGTAATATGCTACCGGGGATCAGTTGGTTAAAGTTACTCGAGTTGTGATGATGATAAGAAATAATAAGAAGTCCATTTATAATGCGCCAAATTCCACCAAGTGAATTCTCTTACGCTGTTCAATGGATCGGTGTGCACTCGATTTTCATTCTTAGCTCCCTGGGGAGTTTACAACTCATGCTGCCTCTGATGCGCTAGAAAGTTAACAGCCGTGAGTATCTCTCCCTACCGGGTACCCATTCATTGCTGGGTGAACGGAGGTATATTTCGAACAAATTAAAACCACGTGCTCAAGGTGACCCCACAGATGCTACATGTGCTTCACTGTTGTGTCGAACCCCTGGACACTCTCATGATCATGAGTTAACTCTCCGCCATCAAGGTTCTACTACACCAAATCAGCACCAGTTTGGAGAGTGCGGTTTTCGTAGGGAGCCTTCAGTGCAGATCGAGAGATATCTGCAGGCTGTGATTGGAGGATATTCTGTAAGATTTTTATGTCTTTCAAATGTACATCCATCCAGTTATTAAAACTGACCATGTTTTTTCTATATTTAGTACTGTCTTTTTCAACATGATGACTTATGCTGAATGTGACCACAGCTATTTTCAAGTAGGTGACATTTGGTGCGAAACTGGGGGTGGTGTGTTTAGCTTCCGGTACTCGGAAAAGGAGCTGGCTAAGCTAGTCATTTTTATTTTTTTTATTGCTGCTCTAAGGCCAAACTGTGCACACACGTACAGGTAATTGCTGTTGAATGCTTAGTTATTTTAAAAAAAATCATAACGTTACTATAGAAGTCTATTGGAAAACATTTGGTTGTGTGTAACCTCAACGCCGCTAAACTTCACCGGATTATGACCTTGTACTGTTCATCTGTAAAGCGAGGACCATACTATAACCGACCTTCTTCGACTACTGTAATCCTATGTTAAACCATAGGAGAAAAAAGGCTATTTCAGCAGTCAAAAAATTAAAGGTACGAGGGGCTTTCAATAAGTTTTGCATCTTCAATATAAGACCAAGTCGCAGAATAGCTCTTGCCCTTTTATTTTTCAAAATAATCTCCATTCACCTCAATACACTTATTCCATTTGTCCTTCAAGCTTTTAATACCACTTTTATAGAAATGGTCACTGGAGGTTAGGTCTGGGCTGTACAGTTAAATCACCCTACAGCCCAGACTTAGCCCCCAGTGACTATTTCCTGTTCCGGCAAATGAAATCTGCCAAACGTGGAAGACACTTCCAGGATAACGAGGCTATAAAGGCTGCCACAGAGGCGTGGTTAGAGGGCCAATCTGCGGATTTCTATAAAGGTGGTATTAACAGCTTAAAGGACAAATGGAATAAGTGTCTTGGAGGGATGGAGATCATATTGAAAAATGAAAGTTCAAAAGATATTCTGCGACTTGGTCTTATGTTGAAGTTGCAAAACTTATTGAACGCCCCTCTTATATCGTAGTAATCTTTGTCAGATTCTTGTTCGAGAGAAAGACGCTCAAGTTTTCCTCATACAGCTACAACACATTTCTGAAAACAAATATTTTTAAACCTCGGCGGTATGAGAACCTTCAACCTCTTGATTCGTCGCCCTTCATGCGGACACAAGTGCTATGGGTTCTTTTGGTTTGGATTGTTGATTAACGCCGCACTCAGCAATATTCCAACTATGGCGGCGGTCTGTAAATAATCGAGCCTGGACCAGACAATCCAGTGATAAATATTATGAGCATCGATTCACGCAATTGGGATCGATGACATGCATCAACCAAGTCAGCGAGCCTGACCACCCGATCCCGTTAGTCGCCTTTTACGACAAGCATAGTCACCTTTTACGGTAAGCATGGGTTGCTGAAGACCTGTTCTACCCCGAAACCTGCACGGGTCACAAGTGCTATGGAGACTGATGACGTCATTAGTGTTAATATCCTTGTCATCATTAACAGAGTGTGGTTAACTTGTACAGTTTTATGTTAAACTCTTCTGTTGTAAGTCGTGGTGGTATATGTGTTATGCAGGTGCCTGCGAATCTGATTTGCACATCTAATTTTAATATATTATACATCTTATCCATATTAGACTTATTGCCTCATGATATGCACTTCATTTATAAGGGTTTAAACATGTTTTAATTCAAAATATGTTTTAGTTTCAAACATGTTTAATTTCGAAACATGTTTAAAATCTAAATACGCTTTAACGTGTCGTCAACATGTTTAGATTATGGGAATGTTATGTTTAGGTGGTGTTGAGGCTCATTTCACGTGTTTAGACCTCATAGACAACCAAATGTGTATTCCGTTTAGAGTGTTTATTTCTTAATCATGTTTAGACCTAAACATGTCTTATCTGTTTTTACATTCTTAACACATTTATTTCAATGAAAGCGTAGCGTTAAGGTCGCTTTGTTGTCTTGGACATTATATGAATATTTCTCCGGGTTAGAACAGGTCTTCAGCAACCCGTGCTTGACGAAAGAGATGACTATGCTTGTCGTTAAAAAGAGGCGACTAACGGGATCGGGTGATCAAACTCACTGAAGCGGTTGATGCATGAAATCGTATCCTAACTGCGAAGATCGATGCTCATGATATCAATCATTGGATTGTCTGGTCCAGGCTCGATTATTTACAGACTGCCGTCATATAGCTGGAATATGGCTGAGTGCGGCGTTAAACAATAAACAAACAACACGTCGTTTGATTGGTCTTCTTATGCAGTCTCCATGTTTTTCGTCAAACAGAA